ATTAGTATTCATTAAGCTTCTTATAAATATCAACATATCCAGTATAGAGTTGCTCACAACATTTTTAGTAGAAACATATATATACTTTTGGATTTTGGAAGAAAGATGGCTTGGTTTTCATGGATGTGCCTCCTCTTCATGCTCTTTAATACTTGTTCATCAGCTAACTCTTCTTCTTCTCTGTCTTCAAGGCATTTATGCCATCCTGACGATAGCTCTGCTTTGCTTCAATTCAAGAACTCCTTCTATTCTAGTAGGACTATTTTTTGGGAGAAAGGCAAGGATTGTTGCGAATGGAGGGGAGTCACTTGCGGAAAGGTGACTGGTCATGTGATCGGTCTCAACCTTGGTCTTAGTGGCCTTCAAGGCAATATCCATTCCAATAGCAGCTTATTCTTTCTTCGCCATCTCGAGAGGTTAGACCTCTCAGATAATGATTTCAGAGGTTCCCCAATTTCGTCCAAGTTTGGTGGATTTGAAAGTTTGACTTACCTTGACCTCTCTTTCTCTAATTTCAATGGGGCAGTCCCCCCCGAAATTTCCCACCTTTCCAACTTAGTTTCACTCAATCTCTCGCTACCTGATGTGAGACTAGATACTCTTAGCTTCAACAGAATTGTAAAAAACCTAACCAATCTTAGGGAGCTTAATCTATACACTGTTGACATGTCATCAGTTGTACCTGATTCCTTCAAGAATCTGTCTTCTTCTTTGAACACTCTTAGACTCTCCAGGTGCAACTTGCAAGGAAAATTTCCAGAAAGCATTTTCCGCCGACCAAACCTTCGATTGCTATATTTAGGTTATAACCGTAATCTCACAGGTTATTTCCCCAAGTCTAACTGGAGCAGTCCACTTGAAACCTTGCGGCTCTCTTATACTAGAATCTCAGTAGATTGGCATCATGTGACAAGAAATTTCAAGTCTTTGAGAGATTTGTCTCTCAGAAATTGCAGTTTTGTAGGACCATATCCTGCATTACCTGGTAACCTCACACAAATCATGCAGTTGGACCTCTCACATAACGGTTTTGGAGGCCAAATTCCATGGTCGCTTCTGAAGCTTGAGAGTCTCACTAACTTGGATCTTAGTGGCAACAATTATGTTGGTCAGTTTCCAGAAGTTGATAGAAACTTGACATCGATCTCTTCTTTATATGATTTTTCAGAAAAACAACAGGTGGTTCCTATTCCTCGACACTTAACCGAGCTCGATTTATTTGAGAACTTACTCAATGGAACAATACCATCTTGGTTAGGTAGTTTGCCATCATTGGAGGTTCTTAGCGTGGGAAGCAACCAACTCAGCGGTGACATCATTGAATTCCAATCTAGTCATTCTTTGACACGACTTGATTTCAGTGATAACAAGCTACATGGCCTGATTCCAAGATCAATCTTTGAACTTGAGAAGGTTACGGAGCTTGATCTATCATCCAATAACTTGAGTGGCATTGTAGAGTTTGAAAAGTTTTCAAAACTGCAAAGTCTTTCTTACCTTAATCTTTCCTCTAACCATCTATCCTTGAGTTTCCACCATTTGAGTAACAACACTTGGCCTCAATTTTCGATCCTAGCTTTGTCGTCTTGCAACATAAGTGAGTTCCCATACTTTCTAAGAGCCTCACCAAACTTGGAGACGTTAGACCTTTCCCACAACAAAATTCAAGGCGAGGTTCCCAAATGGTTGTCCAATGTGGCTAAAGATTCATTGAGGCAATTGGATCTTTCTTACAACTTTTTCACAGGTGCTGTAAGACAGTTTCGATGGAAAAACCTTCGATATCTTAACCTTGGCAGCAATTCGCTCCAAGGAGAGCTTCCAATTCCACCACCTTCCACATTTTTCTTTTTCATATCAAACAACCAATTGACTGGAGAGATGCCCCCAACCATTTGCAGCTTGAATAGACTTCAAATCCTTGATTTGTCTAATAATAAATTGAGTGGTAAAATTCATCAATGCTTAGGAAACTTCAGTCAAAGCCTCTCCGTTTTGGATTTGAGGAAGAATAAATTTGATGGCATGATTCCTATGACATTTTCTAAGGGAAACATTTTGAGAAATCTTGGCCTTGATGGAAATCAATTGGAAGGACCCTTGCCACCATCTTTGCTCACATGTAGAGATTTGGAAGTTCTAGACGTGGGAAACAACAAAATTCATGACACCTTCCCTAATTGGCTGGAATCTCTTCCCAAGTTGCAAGTTCTTATCTTGAGGTCTAACAAATTCCATGGTGCAATAGGAAATCCGAAATCTAAGTTTCCATTCCAAAAATTGCGCATCATGGACCTCTCCCACAATCTGTTTAGCGGTCTTTTGCCAACAAAATATTTTGAAAATTTAGATGCCATGATAAACTCACAAGAGCATGAATTGAAATATATGGGAGATGGCTACTATCACGACACTGTGGTGGTGACAATTAAAGGCTTCGAAATTGAAATGTTGAAGATCCAAACTTTCTTCACAACTATAGATTTCTCAAACAACAGTTTTATAGGAGAGATTTCAAACGTAATCGGTAAGCTTAAATCATTGAAGGGGCTTAACTTTTCAAATAATGAGCTTACAGGTACAATTCCACCCTCATTTGGGGAATTGAGCAATCTTGAATGGTTAGATCTCTCTTCAAATGGACTTGTTGGTGAGATTCCAGGGCAATTGACAAAGTTGACATCACTATCAAAGTTCAACGTTTCAGAAAACCGACTTGTGGGGCCCATACCTCATGGCAAGCAATTTGATACATTTGAAAATGATTCATATAGTGGAAATACAGGATTGTGTGGATTGCCACTTTCTAAAACATGTGGTACACATCAATCACCACCACCATCATTCGGACAAGAGGATGACTTGGAGCATGGGAATGGTTTTGATTGGAAGGTAGTGTTGATGGGGTATGCATCTGGGGTGGTAATTGGAATATCTGTGGGATATCTTGTAATCTCTAATGGAAAACCAAATTGGCTTGTGAAAGTGGTACAAAGAAAGCAACGTCGTAGAACTGTGGAAATCACACAGCGACGTGCTTGAAGAAATTGTTCCAAAAGTTTATATATTTTCATATTGTATATAATTTTCATTTCCTATGAATATTGTATTATGTCAGAGTACCAATTGTTGATATATATCATAGCCGACCCAATTCACTACGGCATACCAGAATGTCCTACCCGATTTACTATGCCTATTATACCAAAATATCCTACCCGATTTACTACGCCTACCAAGTCTAAAAAATCATACCCGTCCTCCCATCACGTATAGGTCATCACGTGCGCCCTGACACCTTACCACAGTCCACTACTGTTTGTCACCACGACCGCCCATGGGCCTGACTCAAATCCACTAAGGAATGTCCCGCTCGTATTCCAAGGGCACGACAGAGACCTCCAGCTAGAACAGCATGGGTCCTTGACGGACCCATACCAGCAGCTCACTATAAATATGCCCCTCAGGCATGCCTAGAGGAGGGGGCTCATTCATACAATCACTCATAAATATTCACTACCACAAGTTCACTAACTTAAGCATCGGAGAGGGTTTGGCCGGTACCACACCGGTGCCCTTCACGGTGGTCCTCTGTTTCTTGTGTGCAGGTGGACCCGTACTATAAAGGAGGTCTCAGCCCTGCTGAAGCCTCACTGTTGGCTGTGCTAAAAACACATACAACAGTTGGCGCCGTCTGTGGGAAACGCAGACAAAAGGTCTCGTTTTTCTTTACCATACTAAGCCACATTCATTGGCTCAGCCCCTAAGCAAAATCTTTGCCAGTAAGGACCATGTTGAGGAGGAAGTTAGGAGCGTCCCAACCCAAGAGAAGTGGAAGGGGTCAGCTTCGCGGCCTAGAAGAAAAGATGGACCAGGTTATTGATGGAGTTGGGAAGATGCAAGAGCTGAGCAACAACCTCCTCGCACAAAACAAGCTCCTGCGAGAACAGCTAGATCAAGCCTTGGATACTGAGGCAAGCATAAGAGGCGGTCTAGAACACCAGAAAACCAACTTACCACCCGAGACAGAAGACCAGATCCTGTCATTCGATGAGGAGGTGGAATCAGAAGATCAATATGATGCCCGGGATGCTCTCAACCAGAAACGAGCTCGGAAGGAAAGGATGATCGACACCGACAGAGAAGGAGTGACCGACATCGAAGTCATGTTGAAGGATCTAGTGACCGGGGAACTAAAAAGTGTTTGGGATCGCCTTGGTCAGGTGGAAAAATCTAGGTCAGCTCGGATACTTGAAGGTCCGGAGGGGGAAATCCCACTACCATATACACTGGCGCTACTCAATGCCAAGGTGACAAGGGACTCCAAGCCCCCCAAGATTGCCCTATATGAGGGTATGTCAGACCCATATGCTCACTTAGATAACTTCCGATATGCTATGGAAGGGCGAGGCGCCAATGAGGCAACTAAGTGTCGGCTGTTCCCAACAACCTTGAAGGGATCTGCCACCAGCTGGTTCAAGAGGTTGACCCCCGAATCCATTGGCTCATTCTCCGAACTCAGGAAGGTATTCTTGGAGCGCTACATGATCATGTCCACCCGGTTGTACACCCCCAATGACATATCCGCAGTTAAGCAGCGACCAGACGAGACACTTCGGGACTACATCACCAGATTCAACAACGAATATGCCAGGTGCGAAGGCTGCGATGAGGCGACGGCTCATAACGCCTTGGTAGGAGGACTTCAGGGGGGGGGACTTTTTCTTCTCACTAACCAGAAATCCGCCTGAGACATACAAAGATCTCCTTCGGGAAGCAACTAGCTATTCTCGAGCTGAACAACTCAACCTAGCCAGAAAGGCCTCGGCAGGATCAAGGGCCGCCAATGAAGAGGCTAGACCCGAGTATCGCCACCACGATCGCTTAGCTAAAAGGAAAGATTATGGCGGAGCTGTGAAGCGACGGGAAGGCCTACCCGAAAAGCACAATAGGTATACCAACTACACCCCTCTCAATAGGACGAAGGGAGAGATCTTGCCATGGTGGCAGATGAGCTCCCTACACCAAGAAGAAGTAAGCACCCATATTGGGGGAGAAGGGATGAAAGCAAGTATTGTAGATACCATCGGGACCATGCCCACCACACTGACGATTGTTATCAACTTAAGGAGGAAATTGAGGCACTCATTAGACGAGGTAGGCTACAACAGTACGTAGCTGGTAGAGCTATTCCAACAGAGCCAGTCGCACCGCAGGAAGCAGACCCTCAACCGGCAACTACCAGGATGACAATTGCCACCATCTCGGGAGGACCTACATTGGCGGGAGACTCCAACCGAGCCATCAAGAGCTATGCCCGAACCGCCGTGAGGGTCCCAACCGAAGCTATGTCAGTAGGTGCAACTGAGCGCCCCTTAAAGATGTCAAGAGTAACATGCGAGCCCATTTCATTCACCGAGGAGGACCAATTCGGTCTCCACTTCCCACACACTGATCCCCTGGTCATCACTGCTGAAATAGCCCAGTGCGAAATCGCCAGGGTCTTCATTGATGGAGGGAGCTCAGTCAATATCATTTTCCTCCATGTGTTCGAGATGCTCAGCATCAGCCGAGATCTGCTTGATCGACGGTGCTCACCCCTAGTAGCCTTCGGGGGAGGGCATGTGCAACCTCTCGGCCATATGCACCTCACCTTGTCTATGGGAACACACCCCCGATGCGCTAGCACCACAACCAGCTTTGTCGTGGTAGATTGTCCTACCTCCTACAATGTGATATTGGGGCGACCGGCCCTGGTAGGTCTAGACGCCACGGTTAGCCACAAATGCCTCATGCTCAAGTTTCCAACACCAGGAGGGGTTGGCTGTGTCCGGGGAAGTCAGAGCACGGCTCGGACATGTTACGCGTCATCAGTGAAACTAAAAACCAAACTGTACAGAAAAACTTTCTCCTTAACTAGCGGTCAAGAACACCCAGTGCCTGCCAAAACATTAGAGCTCGACCCCAGAGAGGGGATTGACCCCGTAAACCTAAAACCAGTGGAGGAGTTAGAGAAGGTAGCCGTTTACCCTGATCAGCCAGAACGATTTCTCCAGATCGGCACAAAGATGACGACCGTGATTCGAGAGCCCCTTGTCAAATTCCTGAAAGCCAACTTAGATGTATTTGCATGGACCCACGAAGACATGACAGGCATAAACCCAGAGATAATCACACACCGACAAGATACGAGGCAATAAGGGATGAGGTCGATAGGCTTGAGAAGAATGGGTTTATCCGTGAGGTGAATTAGCCTAAATGGTTATCTAATGTGGTGATGGTCAGGAAGACCGAGGGAAAATGGAGAATGTTCGTCGACTTCACAGACCTCAACAAGGCGTGCCCTAAGGACAGCTTCCCATTACCTCGGATCGACCAGTTGGTTGACGCCACGGCCGGTCACGAGCTGCTAAGTTTCATGGGCGCTTACTCAGGCTACAACCAGATTCACATGCACCCAGACGATCAGGAGAACACCTCTTTCATCACCGATCGAGGTACCTATTGTTACCAGGTGATGCCATTCGGCCTAAAAAATGCGGGCGCCACATACCAGCGCCTCGTGAATCGCATATTTTCAGAACAAATTGGCAAAAGCATGGAGGTGTATGTGGACGACATGCTAGTCAAAAGTATCAAAGCAGAACATCATACCACCGATTTGACTACCACATTCAACATCCTGCGACACTACGGAATGAAGCTCAACCCAACCAAGTGCGCATTCGGTGTTGGGTCGGGTAAATTCTTGGGATTTTTGGTCAGTCATCGGGGTATAGAGGCCAATCCTGAAAAGATACAGGCACTCATCAACATGACCCTGTTGCGTAGATACAGCTTCACCAAAATGGATTCAGTTGCATCCTCAACTTGTGATACTCGCAAGTGCACGAGCCGTTTGGTAGTATAGCATATGTAAGTGCGAGGTCGATCCCACGAGGATTGGTGATTGAATGATCCTATTTATTTTTCCTACACAAAACAGAAATGAAAAAGAAAGGAAATAAATAAAACAAGGAAGAAAGAAATAACTAACTCAAGCAGATAAGTTCCCAAGTTCAATTAGATTAACGGATTGATTCTAGCTAATGTATGATTAAGCCATGGTGTTTGGTCATAACCTTGTGTTCCTAATTCCCTAATTTGATCATTTGTTGTCTAACCTAAAATTAAGCATTAGGAACCCATTAAGCATAGAAGAACAATTTAAACAACCAAGCATGTATCTAATCCCTGTTGTCGAATGTCCATACATACTCTTCCTATTCATAGTTCAATTCGAATTAAACCATGGTGTATACTCTTAATTCAAACCAAGATAGCTAACATGCAAGCCTAAATGGTGATCAATCATTCAAACAAGCATATTAACTTATAAGCATAATGAATAAGAACAAAAACCATAATTGAAACTATGAAAAT